TATTCACATTTCTAGAGCGCTTATACCTTCCTATCACATCCTTACGGAATTGTTTGTGACGGTCCGCCTACTTGTACCAACTTCTCTCTGATATTCATCTCCCCCTCCATACCCATTTCTCTGTGGAATATTTTCTAGATACTTCCCTCTTCTCAATTGTCCTTTTTCAGCTCTCTTCCCAGAATTTTTCACTTTCTCCTAGACCTTCATCCTATTCTCAGCGCCAAACTCCTTAGCTTTACAATGTTCTGGCACAGAATTCTTCGCTTACTTCTTGTACGAAATCAATGTTATATCCGCAACGTTCAGGCTCTGCATAGATGATGACATGAGGAACTATCGGTGTCGAAACGATTCCCTCCCCCTGAAACAGGTGTCTTCAGTATGCTCCCTTACTGGTGCTATCCAAACATCCGTGTATCCTTTAGGTTTCCGCCTACACTCTCGAAGCAGAACGGTGTAGGTCCGGAAGTATCATCGAGGAGAGCGCTAGGAGGCACCCTGCCAATGAGTATAGCAGCTTCTTGGCACGTGCAAAACGATGGTCGTCGCAGTGTAACACATAGTCATGATCCCTGCAAACGATAGGGCGTGTGAGCGGGTTTGGATTGCAGCGCTGCCAAGGCCGCCTTCTCATCAATCCTCGATCGAGCATACAACGACTGGCAGGAAGGCCTGTTTTACCTGCGATCCAGCCCACGCCCCTTGCATGCCCTTTCTTCTGTAAGGATCATAACTATACATCCGAATGACTGCTCTTGAAACATCTTTTACCACAACCGAGAAAAGCTGTGAGTGAATGCGTGATTCCCATGGGATTTCCGTTATTACTATTCTCGTTGCAAGCCTGAATCAGGCACTTCAATCAACAACTGAGGCTTCTAACGAAATGCTCGTTTACCTTTCCACTGTTGGTCTGGACACTATCAAGCAAATCCCAATACAATTCAGATTTGGTAAACATCATGTTGCGGCTGCATGTTATCCTATGCTGTACAGTGCAGTGCATATCATAGACCTTCCAAAGGATTCGGTTTCTACATGGATACTCTGCTTCTTCACGCAAGATCTCGCTATTTATCTCGGTCATCGTGCAGTACACGGTAAGCTGATAGGAGAAAATCGATGGCGGAGTACTGTCGACATGACATGCAAAAATTCAGAAGAATCTGTCCCGCGGTTTTGTAGCAAGTGTGTCAATCGACGTCTGATATATGCAGTCTCGAGATCACACCATTGGTTGGTTGAGGTAAAAAGCAAAAAAGGGGTGGCGGAGGGGCGTTTTGCCAGCGGAGCATGGAATGGCACTGATGAGGGTGAACCCCTTTCATACGGGTTTACCGCTAGCCGCGCAATCATCTTCGATTCCTAGAGGGATATTAGATTACGGATTACGAACTGGCATGGATTGGTTCCGATCTATGGAGCAGCAAGAAGGATGAGTAAGTAACAATGAACAGACACCTCCAAAGCGATGCCAACATACAGTACAAGTATTTCCCTAGGAAATAGTCTGGTGTTTTTCACCTCTAGTCATTGTGAAATGTCTATATACCTGGATCCAGGGAGCAGACCGACAAAAGGGTCTTGTCGTAGCACATGCTGCCCAATTCCTCTATTTGAAAATGTAATCGATAACCACGAGCTCCGCGCTGCTCTTTTATTTGAGGAAAGTAAAGGAAATTGTCTAACTCAAGGAATAAGACCCTCAGTCTTAGTGAAGTTTTGTTCCTCGAAAAGGATTTAATTCTGGTCCTGCGCGCGTCAAGCTTGTGCAATTAAACCTTCACGTTTGTTGATGATGAGAGATAATCATACCGAACGCTGAAGTTGGTGTGAACTACATTGGTGTGAACTATCACCTGAGCCAGTGATAGTGGATGTACTGTTCCGCGGCCTCATAACCAACTCGGTGAATATCTAGTTAAAAACTAAAAAAGTCAAACAATCTGAGGTTTTGCGCGTCAGATTTGGTGCGTCCTATCTGTAATAATTAATCTTCTTCAGAAGCTGGTGTGCTCTGGTCCGTTCATGAGATTCATCATACCTCTGAGTACTATAATCTTAGCACCGCTCTTCGTTTGTCAATAAATCAGGTTTTTTAGTACTATTGAAAAAATTCTGATGACCCACTTATTTTCACATGAAAAAGTAGTACGTTCAAATGTGGCCTTCAGACGTTGAATACCGAGAAATTTTCTTCTCCTAATGTGAAATGAGCGATGAAGTCGAGGCATAAGTTTCCGATGACTTCGAGTGAGTACTTGCTGAACAATCCGGTTTCGTAAAAAAAGCGGGTTAATCTGCACAGCATCCGATAGCTCCCTTAACCTCGGAATCCTCAGGCAAT